GCAGAAGAGACTGAAGGATTTGGTGTAGAATGAAAAGTGCCTGTTTAATATCATCCAGTTCCACCTCCCCCAAACACTCCCTGAAGTCGTACATACCTCTAATAATTAATAACAAAAGACGAACCAGCTGAATTATCCCAAGGATTTAGGCTGACATTGAAGTCACCCAAACAGCCCATAAGCCATCCTCAACCAACTGTTTATGAAGCCTCAAACTTTCCCATAAGTGTCTTCTTTCCCTAACATTGTTTGCCTCATACGAAAAGGAACAGTAATACCTTCTTCCTCCATTAACAGGACTAGCCACACGATGAATAACCTATATTCTGCTCAAAAACTTCAAGCCTTAAAACATTTTGATCCCACAATCCCACTCAATGATGATTCTAGTCCTGCCATCACATTTAGCATTATTAGACACCAGATTCCATCTACCAAACACCTCTCCACAAACTTTAACAAGATGGCGCAAAGCTACTTCAGTTTCCAACACAGTACACACCTTGATATCTTAACTCATAATTAAGTTTTTAACTCTGTTTGTAGAGGCTTCATTCAAGCCTCTTATGTTCCAGCCTCCAGGTAGCTAACTTAATCATGGATAACATGTTTAATAACAGCACTATTATCCCCTCCCCACTCCTTGGGTCACATCCTCCTCGCTATCAATTTTCATAATAATACCAGTCACCCCATCATCAGAAGCAACATCATCCAGTTACACATTGATCAAAATAGGATTCCAACTGCTCCTTACTCCATTTTGCTATAACATCATTTGGTGGCAAAATCATTGACAGCTTGCTTCTCCTTTCCACAATCCCCCACATCCCACTCTATATCAGCTGCATTTAGCACTTTAAAGCTTTACCCAGAACTTCTTTGTCTTTATAAGAGCCCACCCCCTGTTGAACATCCTTTACCAGAACTTGAACCCTCCTGAACCCCTGAAGTAGAATTCTAATTCCCGGATTCCTCACAATCTGACCAGCCTTTGCAGCTGGACTATTACTCTCTACCTGTACACCCGACGTACCCGTCGTTGCCCCAGCTTGCTAGTTGATGCCCCTTGAACACTTCTTCCCTGTCGTTATTGCCTTGATCACACTGCACAAATGGAGCCCCTTAACTTGATAAGTAACTTCCTGAACATTTCTGCCCTAAATTCTATGGCTTTGACCACCATAACGCGTCCCCTGTGGTATCCTAGCACCTCATCCTCTGACCACCTGATAACTAGCAACTGTATTCCGCCTCCCAACCACCTGAACCATCCACATTATCCACACCAGCAGCATTACCCCTCTTGAGAGCATCCTTTAGAAGATTAGCTGCCACCTCTTCCACAGTTCTCGGTCTATCTAGACATTCCCCTGTACCATGTCCAAATATTTTGCAATTGTTGCAACATAATGGCTTTCATTAATAACCAACTTCAATTCTGACACCACTACTTTGATCCCCTTCCCTCTCCGGATATTTCACAGCCACAACCTCCATCAAGCCATCTTCAACAAGGACCTCGCAAACCGAACTCTTTCGGTATTTTTGTACATCTCTATAGGGACCTTGAACATTAATCCAAAGAGGAATATTTTGTGTTCTGGTTTTTCTCTAAACAAAGACCTGGCTCCCACTTATTCAGAAATAGAGAAACCTCGATCACCATCCATGCCCACTCTCCATCACTTTCCCCGTTCCAGCCTTACTTTTGAAAATAGGTTCTTTTATAATCAATTTAAAACCATCTGCTAGAGGTAACAATACAAACGATCCCACTACATCAGGACCCTTTCGACGTTGCACACAAGCCAAGGGTTTCTCTCTCAAAGTAACAAGCTCAGGGATCTGGCGAAAACGCTGCAGGTGCGAAGCGGTTCTCTCTCACCTAAAGAATGGATGAGAGAACGACGGCCATTTCTGTCCACCGCCCTTCTCACGGAGCCGTAGTGGAAGACTTTAGGCCTCCCACCATGCTTGTATAGTTCCTTGGATCAAGCCTTGAGTTCAATTCGTACTCCGAAAATTCCTTAGCAGCAGGGCTGCCCCTTTGTTGTTCTGTTGCGTGCCCTATCTTCTTAGATTCAAGATCAGGTCCAGGATTTGAGTCAAATCGACCTTTCAAAAGAAAAATCCAGCAGCATTCATGGATATCTTTTCAAAAGAAAAATCCAGCAGCATTCATGGATATCAGGTAATTTTCCTCACCGGATGAACATGGCAAGAGCTAAGAATCTTACCCGGTAAGAGCGATGATAAGGATGGAGAGCCTTACCCGGTAAGTGGGGGTGACGACGACTCTTACCCGGGTAAACGCTTACGGGATAAATTGTTGCATACGACACCATTTTGATGTACAACAATATTACCCGGTAAAATAAATTATAGTGTTAGACTCCTACTGATAAGCGCTTACCGGGTAAGTATTTGGGTAAATGGCCCCTAAGTCAAAACCCCACCACATCCGACTCAGATTATATTGAACAACTGGATACGCCATTCTTACCCCTACAAAATACCCATATAAGATGCAAAGCATACGCTTTATTACCCTGTTTATCTATTTCTACTATTTTCTATGTTCATATAAAAGTTTGATATAGTTATCAAAGTTTTTCGCTGTAGCAAGTCAACTAAATACTTTTCTCAAGATTTTACAAGTTGTATTAAATGTGTCTACAACATGAATCACAGGCGTGCACGGTTCAAGTGAATATACAACTCAATGAGTTGGTGTCGGTTAGAAAAAGCAAAGGTGTGAGTGTGACACGTCATCGATTCATCATAGTATACCTCATTAATTATGGGGAATATGGTTATTTTTTAATCTCTAAATAAGTCAGGGCTACTTAGGAACATCATATCTATCTTCGTATTAATTTTGCAAAAGAGCCTTTGATTGGACAAAGAGAAGTTGGAAAATGGAGTCAGATACTTGTGTTGAAAAGTTGGTGTAAATTAATCTCCTACTGCAGGTACATTTACCCTTTCCAACCTTGGAATGTTTGGAGTGGATCGGTTTGATGCCATCTTGCCACCAGGAACTGTGAGTTTTCATAATATTTAATTAATCTAAAGCAAGCATATGTTATGTTATACAAGTTTTTGATGGAGCTGATAAGCAGTTATTTGTGTCATGCAGGGTGCAATCATGGCTGTTGGGGCGTCTGAACCGACTGTTGTTGCCACCAAGGATGGCCGAATCGGCATGAAGAGTCAGATGCAGGTATGATTGCCGAGGAACACCGACATTTGTTGCACTGACACCACCTAATTTTAGTCGGTCATTCAGTTAATAACTGTGTTATTACTGCAGGTAAATGTTACAGCTGATCATCGTGTAATATATGGGGCAGATCTTGCTCAGTTCTTGCAGACTCTAGCAAAGATCATCGAGGATCCTAAAGACCTAACATTCTAGATGTCGGCCTTTACTTTTCTTTTCTTCTAGTATACCTTGAGGTTCTCCTTTTGGCATGAGGTTCAGTTAATTTTGGAGGATTCCCAAACTCTCTTTTGTGAAATTCCAAACTTACTTGCATGTTTTTAATGAAACTATTATTTGTTTCTTGCTTATCATTTTCACACAATAGTGCTATATATTATTTTTAACAAGTTAATTTGTGGAAATTATATCGAGACCATCGATCATCGTTTTATTACGTGTCTGAGGGTCTCCCGGATGTGGAAAGATGTTTTCCGGTGGTGGGGTTGGAGCCTACCATTGTTACCCTCACTTGTTGAACTTCTTTCTTGCTCGGACTCTCCATCTATAATAGCCTCACTGCTTTTCGATAGCGAGGGTGTTCAAAATATTGACTTTGTTTCGAAGTTCAACTTTTAAATGGATTTCAATGCGCATCAAGAACTGTACCATTTCGTGGCCCACATGGAGTGGAGGGTAATTCTTTGATGGCTTGTTTCGTGGCGTTGGCTTCCCTTTCGTGCTCGTGTTTAGCTTTGGTCTTGAGTCGTGTTTTGTTATAGTGAGTTTTGTTCGTGTTTTTGCTTCTTTTGAGGGTTCTTTGCTCTGTTTTCGTTGTTGGTTGGTCTTGTTTTTTTGCTTCTTGCAGAACAATTGGCCGTTTCTCTGATGTTCTGTTTTAATATTATTGTTTTAATATTATTGTCTTAGCTTTCCAAACCTAGAAAAAAAAGTTGATTGAGGTTATTGGTGATGTTGGTTCCATAAGGTTGTGTTTGGTTGTATGGGACGAGTCGGGACAAAAAAAGGTCCCATGTTTGACATGGCATGGACAATAATAGTCCCATGATTTCCATCCTCCATCCCATCCAGTTTGTGTAACAAACACTATGGACCGTTTACAAAATGCTTACTTGGGTAAGCGCACCAAGTTATATTACCTTACCGGATGAATATGGTAAGGACCAAAAATCTTACCCTGTAAGAACGAGGCAAGGACTAAGAGTCTTACCCGGTAAGTGATGGCAATGACTCTTACCACGGTCAGCTCTTACCGGGTAAATTGTTAGATAGAAAGCCGTTTTTGTTGACTAAAATTTTACCCGATAAGTAAATAATAATATTAAATTTTACCGGTAAGTGCTTACCGGATAAATGTCTAGTAAACGTTCCCTATCTACTACCTAAAGCATGGGTGCATTAAGGATCTGTAGATATTTTGGGTGCATTTAGGATCTGATATAAGACAAAGCTAAACAAAGAAAACATTATCCCACACTCCATATGATATTGCCTGGGTGAATACGGAATTGTATGAAACAAAAATCATTGAAATGGGTGGAATAAAAAATTGTATGAGACTAAGTTGCGGAGAAAAAAATGAAATGGGTGTATCTATACTATCTTATAATGCATTTGGCTAAATCTCTTAAAACTCTTAAACTCTTAAAGACAACCTCTATTGCTTTAGGTACAACCTACTAAAGCATGTTATACCTAAAACCCTCCATCCGTATCCCTAAACCCAATCCCTATCCCCCCCGCCATCCCCGATCTGCTTATCCCTAAACCCAATCCCATTTTTATCAGCAACCCTATTCCTAAACCCAATCCCTTTTTATCGTCATCCATATCCTATAAACAAAATCGATTCCACCATGAACAGAGATTTTGATGAAATCGATACCAACCCAATTCGATCTCTCGGTGTCCAGGTGGATCTAGACTCTGTACTAACAATGGCGTCTTGAAGAAGAATGCTTCTCGAGATCATGATCGTCGGAGATCGAGCAGGTATGTGTTTATCTCTCCAAATTTAGGTCAAAATTTCACTTAGAACCACCKTTGATTCTGAGWTCATGATATGATTGAATACGAAATTAGTTCAATCATAGGAATTAGGGATTGTTTACTTGGGTCTCATCTGGTATTCAAAGTTGTCCTTTAACTATGTACATATCTAAACTTTAATTAACTTTTGAGAGGCTATTATATATACTGCTAATCCCCCATGTCTCCCTCTCTCCCTCTTTTTCTTAATGTGTGCTTTACAAGCACATGATTAGTGCTATTGCTTTTGATGGTTCATGCAGTGAATGCTTCAGAGTTTGGCCTTGAAAGACTATATCTTATTGGTGAGTGGCTGAAGTTCTGTGTTTTTTACTGGGCAAACATGTGGCAACAAACAAACTCACCATCATTGTTTTGCTTATAATCAATACTTACACCAATTATGCACTCTCTTAGAAAAGGGGAAGAAATTGGTCAGTTATTGTTGCCATGGATTTGTTCTTTTTCATTTTACTGTCTATTGGATTGATTTCAAAGTGTAGGGATCATGGAAGTTTTTCCTTTGCTACATACATACTGTAGTTTGCTGTATAACTTGTATATGTTGCAATTTTACTGATCTACTTTCTTTTGCAGGAATTTGCTTTATGTCCAATGAGTTGGTAAGAATTTCACATTTTATCCYKGTAGTGTTGCTACTTCATTTTCAGCATAGTAGCCTCTTATCTGAATAGTAGGATTCTAAATGCAGATGGTTTTGTGATATGTTTATAAGCATTTTTACCAATCTGCATGTGGCCTTATGACCTGATGCATGTGACATCATTTCTGAAGCTTCCATGAGACCGAGTGAATGTGTGTTCTTCTTTTTTGTTTTCACTAAACCCTGTGTGAATTAGACATTTATCTGGAATAAGGGTGAAATGAACAACTGTTAGGGACCGTTTACCAAACGCTTACCYGGGTAAGCGCTTACCAGGTCACATTATCTTACCRGATGAATATKGTAAGGACCAAGAATCTTACCCGGTAAGGGAGGGCGACGATTCTTACCACGGTARGCGCTTACCGGGTAAATTGTTACATGCGATGTCGTTTTGGCGGACTAAAATCTTACTCGGTAAATAAATAGTAGTGTTAAAWTTTACCGGTAAGCACTTAYTGGGTAAGTATTTGGTAAACGGCCCCTTAGTCTATTTTTTGTGCTGAATGAACAATTTGAATCGTAGAAAACCAKTTTAATCTTCTTTAATAAAAAACCACTGTTTGACAAATATATTCTATATGATAAAAAACTTAACAATCTAGAAGTTATTTAAATAGAGAGTATATAATCTAAGTCAAATAGCYAAGTCCAAGATTGAATGGCCCTGCTSTGTGTGTGTATGCATAGATATTATATTAGCCTTGTAGGTTTAAGAAACAGAAACATAATGCTTGTTGTATATTGTGGTTTTGAATCTCCATATCAAATTGGTTTTTTTAATTGTGGATGGCTCTACAGGGTTGAATCTCGTCTATCGTAGAACCGAATTAATTGTTCACGCGATTCATACGATTGTTCCACACTCGATTCAAGGTAATTAATTGATCATCTGTTGATAGTGTGATTTATTTAAGGCTTTGCTTCCATTCTTGCACGTTCTCTTGATAGTGTGATTTATGAGTTCAATCAATGATCAAGTATTTAGATTTCTATTTAGATTGTTTTATTTGCAAAGAATGTGTGTGTGTGTATATGTTATCACCTGCTGTCATTTGCAATGACAGAGCCACAGAAGTTTTTCTCAAGGTAAGATCAAAACTTTCGTGGCAGCTGTTGTCCAACAGCTCTTTTTCGCTTTAAACGTCAATTTCATCTTAGAAGTAGTCCAAATCTGCAGAAACTCAAAACTTAAAAGTTGTGGGGCTGTTTGTTAGCTTTCTAGATCATCTTGAATAACTTAAATCCGAGCTCGAACGAGTTAGATATGCTTGAAATACCATAGTCTCGTAAAGCTGTCAAAAATCTTYTTTTTGTCCCTTTTTCGCTCCAAAGTGTTCCGAACCTATCAACATCTAAAAACGCATCAATGTTGTTCAGTTTTACCATTTTAGTGTGTTAAAGAGGGRTGCTTGATRTGAAAATAAGGTAGCTTTTAGCGACGGATCACCTATTGTTGGTATATTTTTTGGTTGATATGGATGCTGAACAAAATATTGGTTTCTGCTTTACCCACAATATTATTTCCAATTCTGGTTTATAAGATTTACTTTCTTCTTACAAGCTGAATATATCCAATCATTTGACTGTCAAGCTACTTGATTCACTTCATTATGTCATAGGATTTATATTTCTGATTTATATAGCTTATGCCATAATCTCAAAATTCATATTGGTGAACTGCTATGTATTATATGTATGTATGTATGTATGTGTGTGTGTGTGTGTGTGTGTGTGTGTGTGTGTGTGTGTATATATATATATTCTGGCCTTGTACTATCTTTTCGATTTTTTTTGGTTCATCAGCAAGTGGTTACTTGCCTAAAAGTAGCTGAATCTTTCAACAAGCATTACCTATTATTTTGGTTAAGCCAATGCAGGAGTACTTCTTTCATTGTCATATGAACTAGGTTTATGTTAAAGTTGATGTCCTTTTATCACTTGCAATAGGTAACTAAGGTGATGGCTAGGATGGCTTCTGCTGATATTATGTGTGTTGGTTCGAAAGTTGTGCGAGAAAAGTTCTCTGGCATCATCAGGTAATCATCTTTTTTAAATTTTTGTATGTTAAGAAGGTTGTAAGCATTGCATTCAACTTTATTTTTTTGGAGTAATTTACCGGTTCAAACTTCAAATTCATGGCTCCCAAAACGACTCTGCATATAACCTGGGTTTTGGAGTATTGATTTTCAACAATGATTTCCCTGAGGTATTGATTTACATTTCGCGGCTCCCTAGCGATTTCTCTGAAGTATTGTCCATTTTCATTTCAAAACCTTAGCGATTTACATTATGTGTTGGTGTTTATTGTAGCCAAACTTTCATATACGTGTGTGTGTGTGTGTGTGTGTTTTTGGGTTAAAAGGATAAACTGTCATATGTTAGGGTTCTTGTGTGGTGAAGAAGGAAATTAGTTTGGAGCGACCTGGCATAGCTGGCTGGAACTTCAATTCGCTCGGATAGCAAGATTTTTGGCACTGCTGGCTGGGATCACAGGTTAGTACAATATACTAGGGGTGTATGAGTTGAAACTGCCAAACCGAATCAAACTGGACAGTTTGGCTTCTTTTTGAGAGAGCCAGGTTCAATCCTGTTAAAAGAAATTTTCGAAGTGATGGGCGTGATTTATGGTTTCAAGTGTTGAATGAAATCAAACCACCCCCATCTTTGATTTAACAGGTTCATAACTACATTTAACAGGTTCATGTGAAATTTGAAATTTATAGCGATTCTTGTCACCTGTAGGAAYGCTCTGAGGAATGCAAGGAAGCTATTCCATCTTTGATTTTTGCTGCTGCAAGATTTGCTGATTTGCCTGAATTGAGGGAAGTCAGAAGTTTATTTACTRAGAGATGTGGGAATTATCTTGAACCTTATRTCAACCAAGAGGTGCTTGCCTTCTTAAAGCATGGTTTTTATATAAAAGATATATCTTCTACTTTAATTAAGTTTTCAAAACTAAAAAGGAAACAATCATGTGATTAGTTTGTCAAAAAGTTGAAACCAGACCCTCCCACTAAAGAAATGAAGCTTCAAATGATGCAAGAGGTTGCACTTGAATMTGATATACAGTGGGATTCCAAGGCTTTGGAACAGTCATTGTATAAACCACCTCCATTTGTACAAGTAAACCATTCTCTCCCTTCAACTACTACCCATTATCATCATTATAGCCAAGTTATAAGGGGAAAGGATACAATTCAAGTTTTAGAGGTAACTAATCTATACTACTTTATAAACCAGATTTAAAAAAAGTCTTAAAAACATTAAGTTAGGGTCTTAACTTTAGAAATGCAATGCTAAGAGTCCATTATACTCACAGTAATTTTTCTTAACTGTTGGTAACTTATGTTGTTCTTTTAAGATCACATGCATGTCCAGTTTACTTTGAAGTCTAAACACAATGAGGGTAATGGGTCGTTTACCTAAACACTTACCGGTAAGTGTCTACCGGTAAAATTTAACACTATCGCTTACTTATCGGATAAGATTTTATTCACCAAAACGCATCGTATGCAACAATTTATCCCGGTAAGCGCTAACCATGGTAAKAGTCGTTGCCCTTAATTACCGGGTACAACTCTTGCTGCTTGTTTTCGCTYTTACCGGGTACTATTTTTAATCCTTGCTATATTCATCCGGTAAAGTAATGTGACTTGGTAAACGCTTACYMGGGTAAGTGTTTGGTAAACGGCACCTAAGTTAGGGTCTGTTTGGTTTGGCTAATTTGGCCAATGTCTATAGTCTATGAAGCAACATCAATTCAAACATTCTTATCATACATATGTAGTCTAACATTTTCTACAACTTGTTTTGCTGTAGAAACAGTCTACTACTGTTGGTTTGTATCAAAACARTCCCAAACAATCTTAAACTACTGCTTGTTTTGTTGTTTTCTGTGTGTTTTTCTAAGTAACATTTCTTTGGGTCTTATCACAGTAATTTCATAGGAAAATGTTGACCTAGAAAGAAAGGTGAAAGTATTAGAGCTTAGAACAAATTACATGCAAATTGTACTCTCTAGAT